AGAGGGCGAAACGTTGAACCTGTGATTAAATTTTTGGAAATACTACCAGGTCTTAACCGTTTTAATATCTCTGCTTTATACGATTCAATGATGATGATGATGATGATGATGATGATGATGATGATGATGATGATGATGATGATGATGATGATGATGATGATGATGATGATGATGATACAATTCAATGATTATGATGATACAATTTAATGATGATGATGATGATAATGTTTTCTTTTCTTTTTGTTTTGTTTCAGCTGTCAGCTCAAAACTCTGCTGAACCAGTGGCGGGTGGTCAGATCTCGGTACCGTGATGCAGCCCAGTCCTGCCAGTTTGGTGGAAGATCTGACAGATACCTGATAAATTTAGATATCAAACATGTATTGAGATACCGTAAAACTTACATACAAATGTACTTCCTGGTGATGATACTATGTTAAAAGAAAATTATCATAACATGCCTCCCTAAACGGAAAGCATCCTTATGTATTATTCAGAAAAGTAGGAGCGCCTTAACCCTATCCATACGCCCTGTGGTCATTGTATACCCCCGGGGTTGTATTCTTCACATTTTAGAATACTTCTAGTGCGAAGATCTCTTTGAAACTTTCAGTATTTCTCAAAAAATCATTTTGACTGCCAATCAAAGTGTATGGATCAGATTAATGAGTAAATGTCCTATTTCAAAAGTGGTGGCGCAGAGTGCCCCACACCATATGGATACAATAGTAAAACACGACGTACGGATAGGGTTAAGTAAAGCGTTTTTTTCACAAGCTGACTGATCGACCACATGTATCAGAACTGGCAAAGGCCAGTGGTGTATCTTCAGAGAATGACCGCTAGGATATTCTTTGAAAACTAGCCACTGTCTGGACATGAACACCTCATATTTTCAAAGACTTTTCTGTCTCTTGAGAGAGGTGTGCACATTTTAAAATGAAAATATGTGTTCTCTTTTTTCTGTACCTGAAGTATTATGTGTGGATGTGTGTGTGTGTGTTTGTTTGTATGTGTGTGTGTGTGTGTGTGTGTATGTGTGTGTTAATGTGTGTGTGTGTGT